AATTTGCCATAGCCCCGTGTGGCAGGGCACTGTTTGTGCCTGCCACTTTAAAGGCCTGCAGCTGGTAGCTGCCAGGTGCCTGATGAGGGCAGTCATTTTGAATCAGGGGTTGCCCATATAAGCAGGGCAGTTCTGCTGCCTGGAGGCTAGGCAACAACATTGCTGGGCCAGAGGGCTGTTGGTATCATCTGGAGGTAAGGGAGGAGCTGTAGGGGATGGTCAGGAGGCTCCTGGTCCTGGGTACAACCTAGAACTGCACCCTGCTGGGAGTGGGAGCCCCCAGGAAATGCCAGGCCAGTTACTTCCCAGGAAAGGCGGGTTGGGGTGCCTTAACCCCCAGCCCCCACAACTGGGTGGGTTACTCCTTGTTCAGAGGGTCTGGAAGGTGGACCCCATGGAGAAAGAGTGAGGCCATGGACTCACACCTGTCTGAACTTCCCCTGACTGGTCCATGCTGGGGCCAGGACTGGAAGGGTTGAAGGGCCAGGGGCCCACTGTGAGGAACACCCAAGAGCTGAGGGCCTGGGGTTCCAACTGGCCTGGGGGTGGGCCAGGGCTAGTAGCTGAAGGTCCCGGGGGGACCACACCCGAAGGGGAACAAGCTCAGGGAGCTATGCTGCCCGGTATCATGGCGGATGAGACCACCTGAGGAGAGGAATCCAGGTGGGGTTCAATGAGGAGGATTCTGGGGCCCAGCAAGGGGCTGGTGATAATGATAACATTGAGATGCCATCTGCGAGGCTTGGGCTGTGGTGTAGGGGAGGAAAGGAGCCGCAGATGGCACCCCCTGGCAGTGGGCAGGAAATGGACAGCCTCCCACTTAATTACATAATTTAATTAATTCCAACAAGGTGTGGCAGGCAAGAAAGCGGGTGGTTAGCCCAGGAACAGGTGGGCAGGCCATGGTTAAATCAACCTCGAGAAGGTCCTCTGTTACACCCCCCCAACCCCCACTTATCAGTGCACCTCAGCCCAAAACCCCCATTGAGAACAGCCCAGAGCTGCCCCAGTTCTATCATACAGTAGCCTGCAGCCCACCCCACCCTGAGTGGACATCCGGGGGCACACACCCTCCATGCCCTCCCAGGGTGTGTGCAGTGGCGGGAGCTGCAACCCGCCGTGCTCCCTGGGTGAGCCACTCGTGGCTCCATCCTGCGTTCGACCCCAGCTCTGCAGTGCCTGCCCCTGCTCCAGCCCCTCCCTCAATGTGGGGGCCTATGGGAATGGGGCTATGGGGAGGGGGATGCTGTCACTCCAGAATTTGCTGTAGCCCCCACAACTTCCCCCCACAGCACCACCGCTGCCTGCCCAGAGTCCAGCCTGGCTCAACATCCTTGCCGGGAAGAGCCCAGCACAGCCCCTGGCCCCAGCCTGCAACGACAGCTCACCCCACCCTGCTTCACATGCATATCTGGGGGCACACGCCCCCCCAATGCTCTCCTGAGGTGTGCATAGTGGTGGGAGCTGCCCCCCGCCCTGCATAGCTCAGACCCATGTCCTGCCCCTGCTAGGCAGCCCCTGCCCCAGCCCCAGTCCCTCCCCCGTGTCTCTTCCCTTACAACAGACTTACCAGCCAGACTCGGCTGCTCGCCATATGGCCGGGCTGTGCTCCGGGCCACCTGTGTGCTGTGCTGTGGCTGCGCACATGCATGCGGCAGTTATCAGCCACATTAATTCTGTGTACTCCCTATGACCCTTTTAAGTACCCTTAAGGGTACGCATACCCCTGGTTGACCACCACTGCACTAGTCCATTGCAATAACATGCCACTATCTTATGTTGCCTTCTGGGATTCCCAACATCACAACACCATCTTTTGATGCCTTGAATTTATCCTGGAAGTATCTTCCTTGCTCAGCTTAATGAGCGGGGACTGTGAGATAAGCAGGGACTGAGAGACCTCTTGTTTTTCCCAAGCTGGCATTGGCAGTTTGCTCATTGAACTGAAGACCTGAATTTTTTGAACAAATAAGCATAATCTTCTGCACCATAGATGGGCAGAGTACTTGCTGCCTTCCATAATTGGTTTCCCTGGTCAGGTAACTATGCCATCCACTTTCCATAATTTGGTATTTGCACCCAAATATATTGATTGGATTTAAATTGCAGGTAGGTAGATTTAGACTAAACTTCAGGAAAAACTTCCCAGCTGCCTGATTAGGAGGACAATGAAACAGGGCACTTGGAGATTGTGGAAGCTCCGCTCATTGGAGGAACATAACCCTTGAGGTCCTTCCTAGTTCTGTGATTCTATTCTAAGAACCTGTGAAGTAGGTGTGCAATGTCGCATCAAGCAAGCACAACTTACGCAAATATCACTCCATACCTGCCTGATCAATAAGAGCTGTTCCTTTTAAGGAGGCAGTTTTTTCCTACAATGCTCAGCTTGCCAGAACATTTGCATAGACTCTGGTGACTCACTACAGTGGCAGCTTTCTCCTTTCAACACCGGTATTTTTTTATCAGGACTCACCATGCCAAATTCTGCCTCACCTTATAGCCTGCACAGGTGCATGGAAGCCAACAGCAAACAGATTTAGAGTCAACGGTTTTGAACAGGATTATGCATATTGCCCCATTACAGAATACTCCATTCAGGAAAAGTGGGCCTGTATTTCTGAAATGTGCACATGCAGTTAGAAACACACAGGGCACAATTTGCACATCTATTTCCCATGATTAAGTTTTGATTAAGTCTACTCATAGAATGGTGGGACTTGCAAAAAAACTAATTTTGCACCTACCTGGATTTTTAAACATACAGTTATGATGATTCGAGGGGACAATTAAGGTGGGCTAATATGAACCTTTTTTTAGGGGAAAGTTGAGTACATGTACTGTAGATAAAGCAGAAACTCCTAAATGTCATTCAGAGACTGTTCTCTAAGATTCTTATTATTTTCTGATCTTGCATAATTCTAGGAAAAGCAAGCAAAATATCCGGATTTTGAAGGATGGACCGTGTTAACACGTGAACACCCTCCTGAAAGCCTTGAAAACCCAAGGACAGCTCTCCTTAATTGACACTTTGCTCTCTATATTGATTCCAAGATACTAGCAATGACTGTTTCACCCTCTGATGATGAATAATAAAATGGCAGTTAAAACACTCACAGGAGCAACTGTGTGATTGTGTGCAATGGTGGAAACAAGTTGTTTGCCATGAAGTACAATTAGAGAGTGGCAAGTGAAAAGCCCAAAAGTGGAGGGGGGAAGGGGAACAGGGGACTGGGCAGGGACAGGAAGGAGGGACCCACTACTACTGCTGCTCTTCTCATGCAGACTGTGCAGGAGTGAGTCCTAAGACTTCCCCTGCCCCTGCCCCCAAGTCAGGCAAGGACAGTGGTAGTGAAAGGGAGGTTCTCCCTTCCTGTACCTGCTCCCTGCCTGTCCCTCCCAGGTGTTCTCCACCAGCCTAGGTGCTTCAGCAGCACCTCATAGGTGTGATTTCAGTGGTACCAGTGTTATCTGACATGGCTTGAACTCTCCAGACTCCTGCTGCTGCTGTTGTGGAACAAGTGCAGGTACAGGCCCTGGCTGCTGTGATTTGGGACTCTGGGTGTTCCCCAGGCTCCTGGGAGCTCCCAGTTTGGTGCCCATCTAAATCAGCTTCCAGGCATTGTACTCTACTTGCCAACCCATACATTAGCATCCCTTAGGAGGAGCTCTTGCCCACACCTGCTCCACAGCATCAGGAACTGGAGTGAAGTGCGCACAAGCTGTGTTAGGTGACACTGCTGCTGTGGCTGTCCAGCTGTCAGCACAATATTGCCAGCCCCACTCCACTCTGTCCATGAAAGAAGTAGCTCTCTCCATCTCTGCCTGGCTAGCACTGAGCTGGAGAGAGCTTGGAGAAGCCAAACTAGCTCCCTCACAGCCATCCCCTCTCCTGGCACACTGATGAGGAGCCAAGACCAACCTCCTCTAGTAGGGGACCCCTACACTGGCAGCAGAAATAATAGGGGGGTGTGCACCACTGTACTCTGTGGATCCCCACCTCCCCTGGAGGTTGGCTTTCCTAAGCTGGGAACACACAACAGGAATTTTATTTTCCAGAAGTGATGCAATTCATAAAGTGGGATGGGAATATTTTCTGTGTACTGAATTGCATGCCTTTTCATCTAAGGGCTGCTCTACACATGTGAATCACCTCAGAGATCCCACAACGAGGCATATGTCATTATTGCAGAGCTAGTGAATAGGTGGACTGGCAAGTCCAAGGTGGCACTATAAATGAGGCCAAGGCTTGGAATTCAGATACCCAGTTTTCTGCTCAAAACCTAAAGAATACAGTCCTTTTGGCAGGGAAGTTCCCAGCGCCAGGGGTTGTAGAATAAAATCCCCAAAAAGGCTGGCCTATTGCTTGCCCATGGGCTGAGCATACTTCTGGGAGATGTTGACTCCTGCTCTTACAGGATGGTCATCTCAGAAGCAGCCCAGCAGTGCTGTGGGTCCTTCTTGAGTCTGCAAAACAGGAATGCATTAAGGCAAGCTGGGACCCACAACAAAGGAACCCTGTGGCTCCAGTCCTAAAGCCCCATGCATTATCTTCCCTCCCTTGGCTGGTTATGGGAAGAGACAGAGATTCAACAGCACTAGGCCAGAGCCCCCAGGGCTCCCTTCTCTTCCCAAGTGCAGTAGCAGACCCCCACCCCTGAATTTACCCTTCCATTCAGAATGAATCTTCATGGATGAGTGGGGACCTTAAGTCATGACCAGTAAGACCTGTTACTGGTATATGGCCAGCTCTCCTCTTCACCTCAGTCCCAGGGCACCTGACCAGTGCCATTGTGACCAACCTTTGTGCAGGGCCTTCTTGCCTAGGCTTCAAGTAGAAGTCATAGCCATCACAGCCCCTCCTTGGTATTATGTTTTTTGTTCTGTTTCAGGGTGGACCACAATAATTTTTCCAGACAGGGAATGTTCCCTTTAAAAACAAAAATATGACTTGAGAGAGGATAGAAAGCTGAAGAAACTACTTGGAAAACAACTCTAAATCAATCGTTCTAATCAGTCAAACAAGACATGGCCTCTTTGGCCTTGTGACATGGCAAGACAACATCCTATATGGCTAGAATTAGCCGGACACAGCCTTTTCCTTCTCTGTCACATACTTCCCCATCCCTCAGCAGACAATTGTAAGTAATTCTTTCAGTTCCTCAGCAGAGAATTGTAAGCAATTATTTCAGTTGTTTGTATGTCATTTTATGCTTTGGTGTTCACGCAGACTCACTCCTCCTCCTTCATCCCCTACAAGTGTTATAAAGGAGACATAACTGTTGACATGCAGAATAAATTTACCAAGGTAAGTAGCTGTTCTCAGGGACCTTTGCAGTTCAGTCTGTCAGGTTGGTGTGGCTATTTTAGTTACTGCAGTAATTTTAAAGTTTTCTGGCATTTCTTTTTGTCAAGTAACATCCTAAATATTTTGTCTGTCAGAGCCACTTTGCATTGTTCTCATTCAGTCACATTTTCCTTTTACAACACCTATCCAAAACTCCCCTTAGGGCGAGTGCATTCAAATAGTGCATTGAATGTATGAAGCCTATAACTTATGTCATACTTGCCAAAACCACTACTGGCATCTAACACAGTGAAATCAATAGCTAGATCACTTGTGGTAAGGAGAAAACAAACTTCAAATGTGCTTGTACACGTGACACTATTACCATGTATGTGATGAAAATGTCACTGTGTGGCTTAAAGGCATCCTGATGTAGTTTAGTTTGCAATGATGCATTGCAGCTATTAGTCAGCCCCCCCCCCCAGCAGACAGGCTTCACCAAAAAAAAAAAAAAAAAGAAGAAGAAGCTAGAGAGGGTCCAGAGGCAACAAAAATGATAAAAGCCTTGGAAAGCAAGTCATACTAGGAGAGGTTGGAGGAAATAGCCACATTCAACTTACAGAAAAGGTGCTTAAGAGGGGTTATGATAGCAGTCTTCAAATATGTAAAGGGATATTTGAAAATCCTGCTATGCAACCACAAAACATACCACCCTTATCTGTCACAGGTAAAGCAGGGGGGCAGCGTGGCCAATGTCATGCTGCTGCAGGAGTTGCTAAATAAACTTGAGATCCAAGGAAGAGGGCCATGCTCCTTCGCTACAGACGGCAAAAATCCTTATAGTTCATACCAATGTGACCATGGGATAACCATTTGTAGTTCGGTTATTTTGTTCAAACTTATTTATATTATGGTCGTATGTTCTTGCTGGGATCCTGTGACCCCAGCTGACTTCCTGCCCTTTGGGCGGGGGGCTGGACTCGATCTTCTGAGGTCCCTTTCAGCCCTAATGTCTATGAAAGCTATGAAAATTCTTTCCTGATCCCAAATAATTTTTTCCTGATATCCAATTTAAACCTACTTTGCTGCAACATCGAGCACCTTTTCTCTCTAGATGTAGAGAGCAGGAGATGGCTTGAAGTTGCAGAAATGTAGTAGGGAGCATAGCCTCTTTCTTGGCTCTCTTGAGCTTATTTTAACAACCCTTGCAGCAGCATGACATTGGCCACTGCTGTCCCTCTGCTTTACCTGTAACAGGTTAGGGTGCTGTGCTTTGTGGTTGTGTACCAATGTCACCTGTGTAGTTCTGGTAATACGTTAGATAAAGATTTGCTTGGGATGATTTGGATAGGGATAATCCTGCCTTAGGCACAGGGCTGGACTCCGAGGCTGCGTCCAGGTGAGCGCAACCATTGTGTTGCTGATACTTGTCCCCAGGGAATGCCCATGCCACGCGCGCTTTGGCACATGGTGGGTTACCCTGGCTGGGGTAGGGAAGCAACTGTGCTGGACCCAGCAGCCCTACCTGGGGTCCTGGGGGTCTTGAGGAGCTGCAGCCACAGTTCTTCTGTAGCTGCGTTCTGGCTGGGCAGGCTCTGATTTTGGGAAGTATACAATGCCGCCACATGTGCTGCTTCCCTTTTTTTTGGTGTGGTTTTTTTGACACCCCCTACCCAACGCTGCAAGGTAGCAGTTCAGGGCATGTCTACATGTGCGGTGCCACATACCACATGTCCGCACTCATCTGGACGTGGCCTGAAGGTCCCTTCTAGCCCTACTTTTCTATGATTCTATGAACCCTATTAGTTTTGTTTGATAAGGAGTGGAGCCTGTGTCCATGTCTGGTTTCCTCTTTTTCTACTTCTCATAGTATCTGCTGGGATGAAGTGTTGGAAGAGTCCTGAGACATCCAGCTGCTAAACAGAATAAATGTCTGCAAAGATTTTGCTCATGGTTGCCATCTGCAGCAGACTTCAGTGAACCTGAGTTGGGCAGATCTGATACCCTCTTCTACCACTAGAGGGCAGTGGCTGCATGGTTTTCTTTAGGAGCTTTGGCAAGTAATATTTTGCATTCCTCTGCTAAATGTATAGTGCCTTTTATCCAGGGATTTCAGGGCAACATACACATCCATCAACATCATGGCAGTCTCATTAGCTGTATTTAAAGGTAGGAGATGCAAAGGCACTGAAGACCAGCTCTCAGCTGGTGTCAAGAGTTTTAGTTCTATCAACTGCCATAAACTAAGACGATTTATGCAAGAGGATGGTCTACCCCAGAGGTTAAGCTGTAGGTAGGAACTGTGCCCTCATTGTCTACTGATGGTAAAAATGGTGCAGGTAGTGGAGCAGAGAAAGCTCTGGCTTTTTTGCACCCTGCTGTTTAGTTCTGGCAGAAGAGACAGATGTACCCCTACTTATGTTTTGCAAGTTCTGCTATGGTTATGTTCTGTAATGGTAACTTTGCGTTTTCTTTCTCTGCATGCCCTCACAGAATGCCTGTTCAGAGGTGTGAAGCTACTCACCTCTGTTTTCACTGTTTGTGGGCTTGGGTTTTCTGTTTGTGGTTAAAGTGTGCAATTGTAAATGGCAGCTGGATCAGATTTTGTGTTCCCTGGGCCTCCTTTCCAAAAGGCTGAAGTTTGTAGGGACCCAACTACTGCTAACAGAATTACACAAAGGTCAGTGAAAGATCAGCACACACTGAGATGTGTACAGATCTGCAGTGGAGTGACCCTCAGATCTAGGTTAGCGTAGACAAACTTAGTATATATGTGCAAACCTGGGTTTACTGTGGACAGGAGTTTTTTGGTGGATGGTATTATACG